ACTTCTTTGAGGATTGTGGGCATCGTAATTAGGTTTTTTAAAAAGGATTTTTGTGAAGTCTTACACAGTGGGTTCACCCTAAGTCCGTTTATTCTGAGATCTTCAGTTTGTGAAAAGCCCGTTGCTGCAGAAGTACCTTGGCACGCAGAGCAGTTAATTAAAATCCAGATAGATTGGAGGAGAACCTTGGGGACGTGACTTTACTGCCTTAGATTTGGGTGGTTAGCAAGGTGGTTTGGAGCTGCATTGCACACTAGCACCTACTTTCCTAGGGCCCTCACGACATTCTTACCCTTCTGCTCCATGGGTCCGTTCTGACCCTTCCCTCCTCCTTGGGAAAGCCCATGACAACCACTGATCCGCTGAAAATGATTTGCCTGGGGGCAGGTGAACAAGTGGAGAAGTGACTGTCTTAAAATTACTTAGGATTCTAGGACTTAGCGGGGAGAAGTCACATTCTCTCCCTTCTTGCCTCTAACTATGACTGTACTCAGCCTGCCTGGGCTAGGTCATTTATCTTACCCTGTTATTAAAACTGTAATTTCCTGTTCAGCAGAGCTTTGTCTCCCAAGAAATGCCAGCATCCTTGTCAGGCTGACAAACCCTCAGGTGCTGACTAGCCGTCCTGGCCCCCGCCCGCAGGGCTCCTCCACAGGGAGGAGCAAGTTTTCTCATCCCCCTTGGCCTGACACCTCCCCTCTTTCCCTCGGGGCAGGCCCAGTGGAGGAGGCGGGCCCGGCCGGCTTCCAGCAAGCTCCGTGGGACAGAGGTGGGAGACTGCATTTGAGGCCAAAATCACCAAGTCCTCTTTTACGAGGAGGGTGAGGGGACTGGGGGTGGGGTGGGGAGAGTTTTAAGCTCTGCGAGAAGATTTGGTCATTTTCTTTCAAGATCGGGAGGCTTGCAGATCGGAGAGCGGAGTTTCTCCCAGTGTGGCCATAGGTAGAGCTCATCACACGCCCCGCAGCTGGTTCTGCTTCCAGCCCTTCGGCAACATCATCAGATGCCAAGTGTGCCTGTGGTCTGGCCAGGGCCAAGGGAGGAGAAAATACGGCCAAGTTTGTATGGCAGTGTTCAAATGACCAACTCTTTCCTTGCACTCCTTGAAGTAACCCCGAATATAGTTGTTATTTAGGCGTAGCATTTTCCAGTTTGGCAAGAGAGTACTTTTAACTGACCCCTTTAGGAAATGGTATTTAAATATAGGTCAAAAAGAGTAAAAGCCTAGTCTCCTGACGTTGGTACCCCTGTTCGGCTGGGCTGAGCAAGTCTGTAGGTATTTTAGCCCCGGAGACTTTCCACCCACCCCTTTCTGTGCCAGTCCCTTCCCTGCGTATACGTGTGCCCAGGATAAGACTCAGCCCTCCACCTGCACGGGGAGGCCTAGGCAGTAACCGAGAGGCACATTTCAGGTCTTCTCCCAGAGCCAAGTCCTTCTGAGCCTAGTAACCAGAGACTTGCGTAGGCTGACGACTTTTCTTTCTGAGCTCGTCACAGGAGGCGGTTCAGATTAGAAGCAAAGTTGGGGCACCTGGGTGGCTCAGTTGGTTAAGCGTCTGCCTTCGGCTGAGGTCATGGTCCCAGGGTCCTGGGATTGAGCCCCGCATTGGGCTCCCTGCTCGGCGGGAAGTCTGCTTCTCCCTCTGCCTGCCGCTCCCCCTGCTTGTTTGGTCTCTCTGTCTCTGACAAATAAATAAATAAAATCTTAAAAAAAAAAAAAAAAGATGAGAAGCAAAGTTGAGAGAAAATAGTGCTGAGGGAGATAGGTTGTCTTGGTTCTCGGCTTGAGGAAGAGCTTTCTTCGCTCTCCTGCCCGGACGGCAGAGTTAAGCGAGACAGCAGGGCCTCATTGGGCCCGGAGGCCCCTGGGGGCCAGGACCTGGTGGGCATGGCTTTTGCTGTTCCCAGGGCCCAGCACGCCGCCGGCCGCCGGTGCTCCCTGCGCGCTCGGGAGAACACAGGAATTTAAACGACAGACGGCTGGCCGGCCTGCCTGCCATTATTTTCCTCTCGATTGCGCTTTACCAAGAGGGCCTGGCCCTCCTGCGGCAAAGTCCTCTTCGGCTCTTGGAAGAAATTGCCCCGCCAGATTCCTTGTGCGCAGGAAAAGTTTGTTTTCGTCTTGTGGTTAACTGCACCCCCCTCCTTGCCTTTGTACTTCATTCGTTCACCTTTGTCTGAGGAGGCTGTAAGCTTCTCTTGGATGACTTCCCTCTTCCCTCCGTTCCAGTCTCTGGTGAGAGGTGACCTTTCTCCTGCCCGCAAAACTGTCGGCAGGTCACCTTTCTTTCTTTTTTTTTTAAATTTTGTTTATTTATTTGTCAGAGAGAGAGAGTGCACACAAGCAGGGGTGCAGCAGGCAGAGGGAGAGGGAGAAGCAGGCTCCCCGTGGAGCAGGGAGCCCGATGCGGGGCTCGATCCCAGGACCCTGGGATCATGACCTGAGCCGAAGGCAGACGCTTAACGACTGAGCCACCCAGGCATCCCAGCAGGTCACCTTTCTTTCTGCTCCTGGCCCTTACTCCCACCATTTGTTACCAGCTTCCCTTCCTCTGCAGGCTCATCTTTGGGGGCTCCTCTACAGTCGATGCATGCGTCTGCATCGCCGTCTTAGTGACCTGGATCCTCTTCAGCTCCGGCCCTTCCCTTCACGGCCAGAAGTTTCTTCAGAGAATAGTTTATCCTTGGGGTCTGTGCACATCCTCACTTCCCTGTCACTTTCCGACTTACAGCTGTCAGTCAGCTTCTCTCTCCCTTACCTACTTGGGCCAAGAGCATGCTCACATTTTCCTAAAACTAGGTCCATTGGGCATTTTGTATTCCTGTATTCCACTCTCCAGGTCATTCAACAGCATCAGTCATTTCTTCTTGAAACTCAGAACCCTCTTCCAGATTGCCCACCTCTGAGCAGTCTTCCTGCCACTGTTGTGCTGGTTTCCCCCGCTAGCCCTTTAGGTTGGGCGCCCCTGGGGGTTCTCCCAGGCCATCCTCTGTGACCCCCACTGTCCAGTCAGTCTTTTGCCCTGTTCGGCTTTTCATGCTTCTGGTGGTCTGAGGATTCCCAGACTTTCTCCTCAACCAGGACTCTTCCCTTTGTGTGCTGTGTATCCACCAGCAAGTCCCCCGGGTACAAAATGCAACCCATCATCACAATTGCCCCCACACAGACACATGCCTTGTCCTGAGGGCTTTGTCCCTTACTCCCCTTAACGATTCCACTCTGTGTCCTGTTGTGTAATTCAGAGACCCTGGGATTCGCCCAAGACTGTTTTCTCTCCCCCTTCTTCCACCGCTTCAATCCATTGACACATCCCACGAGTTCTGTGAGAGATCTGTCTGTCCCTTTCTCCTCCTGTCTTGCCTCTGCCACACCAGCTGTCTGCTTCCAGCCTGCCTGTCAGAGTGCCCGCTATAAAATGCAAATAAGATCACAAAACGTGATTCCTTGAACTGCTCATTGTGTCCCACTGCCTGTAGGATAAAGTCCACGTTCCTTACCATGGTTTTTCGTGGCTGCTTGTTTGCCTGCCATACCCTCATCCATCCCACCCCTACTCTTGGCCCAACCAAACATTTTGTAGTTTCTTTAATGCCCTGTTGCATGCTGTTTGCTTTTTCTTGAAAATTCCTTTTACTCTGGGCTTCCTGATGAATCCCCAGCTACTCCAACAGGAGGATACGTGTGGCACATCATTTGAGAGGTCTTCTCTGGTCACCCCTCTGTCCCTGAAGAGCTGCTTGTGTCTCTATCTTCATAGCCCCCGGTACGCTGTACGAACCTCCGTTAAGGCACTGATTACTCTGAAATTTCTCGTTTGGGTTTTACATTTCTTGTTCCTCTCCTTGACCATGAACTCCTCAAGGGCAGGTTCTCTGCCTTACTCACCTAGTGCTGGAAACAGCAAGGCATTGGCTTCACTAAAGGTTGCATGCCTGGGTGAGTGGAGATTCTGACAGAGGCCAGCAAATCACCCACAGCCTTGTCCCAAGGCCGCTTTGCTTCTTGCTTTGTCCCCAGCTCCTTCAGTTACTTGACCCATTCTGCTGATTTTGTCACGGATGTCCCTGTCTCTTTTTGGGACGAGTCCGGAGAGCCAAATGGTAATTGTGGGGAAACCTCTAGGTTTCCCTTTTATTTGAGCCTTGCCAGAGAAACTAGCTGAAGCATTGTTACAGTGCCCGGAGCCACGACTGATCTTTATTTAGTACCTCACAGCCTGGAGGATGTCCGGTGAGAAAGTGGAAGCACAGAAAGGGAGAACTTGTTCTAAAGACGTACGTAGTCAAGTGGGGCTTGGGCCCGGGTCTTCTGAGCGCGGGTCCTCTGTTCCCTTGTATTATCGTATGCAGCCTCAGGTGCTTTTGTCAGCAGCTGATTTAGAGAATTGAAAAATCCCTCTCTCCGAGGGGGGCCACGCTGCTATTATCACCCTTATCTTGCCAACAGAGAAGTCATCTGTTTAACTGCTCTTTCCTTGGTTATTCCATGTGAACTATTCATTACAATTGTCTTCTGGGAAGTTAGAGGCTGTGGACAAGTAAGAGTGAGTCAGAGAGGAATGTTGATGTGTAGGAAACGGAAAGAATGAACACGATTAGTTAAAATTCAAATATCGCGTGATTCATTCAGTAGTCCTTGTTGAGCCACCTGTCTGCTGGGCACTGACCGACTGTCATGGTCCCTGTTCACACGGGGGCCACAGGCAAGCGGGGAAGACAGGTGTGGATCAGACCTGCCTATAAAAGTGAATGAATTCTAGGGGCGCCTGGGTGGCTCAGTTGGTTAAGCGACTGCCTTCGGCTCAGGTCATGATCCTGGAGTCCCGGGATCGAGTCCCACATCGGGCTCCCTGCTCAGCAGGGAGTCTGCTTCTCCCTCTGACCCCCTTCCCTCTCATGCTCTCTATCTCTCATTCTCTCTCTCTCTCAAATAAATAAATAAAAAATCTTTAAAAAAAAAAAAGTGAATGAATTCTAGATCAGGAGTCTCGGGAAGTGCTGCAAGCTAAAAAGGCCCAGGAGTCGTTGGGGGACTTGAGGTTATCGCTGTGTGAGGTTATATCTGTGTTCCCCCTGCTGGGCCTCTGGCTTCCTCTGTGAGATGACTAAGGTTGAACCAGCCAGCTTCTTGTTAGTGCTTTCCAGCTTAGCACGTCTCTGAACTGCGATTTAATAAAGGCACTTACTATAAGTCAGGAGGCAGAGAGCTGAAGGTACCGTTCTTTTGTGTGAACTGGTGATTGAGCAGTAACACTAAATGTTTCATTTATTATCTCTGTAAGCAGAGAGTTCAGGCTCCAGATGTCATAGAGGCTGCCGTGGTCTGCTGAGAAAAGCACACTCTTATCACAGCGATGCTCAGCGTTTTGGTGGACCCTTTCACAACTGTAGTTTATTCTGACATTTGAGGGATTGGGTTTTCCTCTGTGATCTTAAAAAGTCATCTATCCCTTTGTCCCTACTACCCATATTTGATATGTAAAATGGGAATCCTATTCCAAAACTTCTTAATAAATCCACCGAGGCACCTGTTCAGCAAGACGACACACATTAGTTGAGCATCTTCTGTGTGCACGACGCTATTCGGCTGCAGTAGACACAGGAATAAGTTGCCCTGCCCTCAAGGAATGTATGGTGTAGTGGCAGCAGGCAGAACAGAGAGAGGTGCTAAGGGACAGGTTTAGGTAGAATTGGAAGTACAAAGGTAAGAGTAGTTCGTGCTGTTGGCCGGCGAAGGGAAAATCAAGGGAGGGGCGGTATGGTCTAGGAAAAGAACATTAGGTTTAGGGTCAGAAGACCTGGGTTTTCAGAATCTCCGTTCTCTGTATATTAGTGGTGCGACCTGGACTTCTCTGAGCCTGGGTGGCCCCATCCGTGTAAAGGAGATAATACCCCTCCTCTCCACGGTCAGCGTGAATATGGGATCACACGCGTGTGATAAAGTTCCATGTCTCTGAGCTCTAGGAGCAGGTTCGTGTCCCTGAATAAAGAGGGTTTCAGGCCACTTGTAATTGCTAAGTCCATTTTTTATTCAAAATTAGATCTCATTAAACCACAGCAGGGTTCAGCAACCTTTCAGAGGTAGTGCGCCAGCTCGGCATCCCATGTTGTCCTGGCAGATCTGGTGTCTGTGCTCTCCTCCTGGGAGCAGTGGCAACTGTGGTGAAGCAGGAGGTGGCAAGGAATTTGTGGCCCCCGAAAACACGTCCTCACCTCGACCCCTGACTCTGGCAGCAGGTGTGGACTGAGTAGCCCTGCTCATGGGCGCCCTCGGGAATGGGGGAGTGGAGCAGAGGTGTGTCTTAACTCTGACCTTTCTCCCCTTCCTCCCTTGCACCAGATTTTATCATGTGGGCAACCTGCTGCAACTGGTTCTGCTTGGATGGACAGCCTGAGGAGGCCCCACCAGCCCAGGGAGCCAGGACGCAGGCCTATTCCAACCCTGGGTACAGCTCCTTCCCTTCCCCAACAGGCTCGGAACCAAGCTGCAAGGCTTGTGGGGCCCACTTCGCAAACATGGCCAGGAAGGTGAGTGTTGACTTCTTGGCCTTCTTGGCCAGCTCGGCCGCTACAGCCTCAGCCCTCGGGCAAGTCTGCTGACCCCTCCACAGTGCCTGCCACCTTGCCTTTGCGGTGCCAGTAACCCACACTGGATCCTTTCACAAAAGCATTACAGAAAAGCCACCCAAAACCAAAGCATCTCAGCGTCGATTTGGACCCAGACAGGCCTGAATTCAGACCTCAGCTCTGCTGCTTACTAGCTGTATGACCTAACCTTTCTGAAGATTCTTTCCCCCCATCTCTAAAATGGGGGTACGGCCGTCATGCCTATCTCACAGGGTCGTGAGAATAACATGAGGTGGGCCACCAAGGGCCCCAGCACCGTGCGGCATGCGGCAGACACTGGTGTCACTCCCTTCATTAGCTGTCGTCGTGAACGCCTGACTGCAGATTGGCTTGGTCTTTGTATCCCACGCAGTGCCGAGGACATCTCATGTACATCTAGACCCCAGCAGGACAAAGACTGGGGCTTCTTTCCTGTAGCGATTTCATGAGAAATGCTCGGCAGCTGTGTTTTCCAGATTAGCGAGCAGCAGGGGAAGTCACTGGCTGGGTGATGGCATGTGGGTGTGGGCCATCCTTGCTCCAGTGCCCAGAGGCAGCCCATTCTCCAAGGTCAAGCACGACCGGGGCTGAGGGTGAACCCCGACCTGCATTCTGCATTTGTCTGCAGAAGAGAGAGGTAGGTCTGTAGCCCTGGATGTGAGGTTAAAGTGGCAATGATGGGAAATATAAGAGGAGAAGCTACTTTAAAAAATTTTTTTAGAGAGAGAGAGTGAGAGAGGGAACACAAGCAGGGGGAGTGGGAGAGGGAGAAGCAGGCTTCCCGCTGAGCAGGGAGCCCGATGCGGGGCTCGATCCCAGGACCCTGGGATCATGACCTGAGCCGAAGGCAGACACTTAATGACTGAGCCACCCAGGCTCCCCGGAAAGCTACTTTTTAAGCTATGTGCTGTATGCCAGGGACTTTTGTGAGCAATTTAGATCTTTTGGTTTCATTTAAGCCTCACAGTAACTCTATGGTAGAGGTTTTAGGGTCCCTAAACTCCCATTTTACATATGAGACACTGAGGTTTAGAGTGTAACAGTTAAGAAAGAAAGAAACTGTATTTGTCAAGTTCCTGATAAATGGCATAGGAGAGATGGAAATACTCCTTTTCCGGCTCCATAGGTAGTGGCCCAAGATCACATGGTTATTAAATGGCGGAGCTAGGATTCAAACCCAGCTCTTTGAACGCTCAGGCTGTCTCCCAGAAGACATTCAGCATGTCCAAATTCCTGCAGCCTGCTGTGCTGACCACCCGTCCTTTTGTACCCACAAGCTGAAGGAGGATTGGCATTTTGCCTGCGCCTCGCTGTAGTGCAGTGAGGCTGGGCACGTAGCAGAGCTTTGTCGTGATGTGCCTGGCTGCCCCGGTCACCGTGAGGACACCACCGGAGAGGCCGCTGCGGGTCGCAGGGGACTGTGGTACAGCAGGCTGCGGTGCTGCTCCCTTTATACTGAGACTGGAGGATTGAGTCTATAGATGGAGGCCGAAGCAGGGACTAGAAGGAGCTCGGTGCCACATGGCCTCAGTCTACTCAGGGATGGAGACAGGGGGGTGGCTTTGGGATCTGAGGTGAAATGGAAGGAGGCCCAGGGGCGACTTGTCACATGCCCGGCACTGAGCTTGGCGTTTCACATGTCTTCTCTCTTTGAATCCTTAACGAAATATATACTATTATTTGTTCCCATTTTATTTATTTATTTATTTTTTAAAGATTTTATTTATTTATTGGAGAGAGAGAGAATGAGAGATAGAGAGCATGAGAGGGAAGAGGGTCAGAGGGAGAAGCAGACTCCCCGCTGAGCAGAGAGCCCGATGCGGGACTCGATCCCGGGACTCCAGGATCATGACCTGAGCCGAAGGCAGTTGCTTAACCGACTGAGCCACCCAGGCACCCCTCTTCCCATTTTATAGATGAAGAAATTGCTCTATTTCTTTTTAAAGATTTATTTATTTATTTATTTATTTGACAGAGAGAGAGAGAGAGAGAGACAGCGAGAGAGGGAACACAAGCAGGGGGAGTGGGAGAGGGAGAAGCAGGCTTCCCGCTGAGCAGGGAGCCCGTTGCTGGGCTCGATCCCGGGACCTTGGGATCATGACCTGAGCCGAAGGCAGACGCTTAACGACTGAGCCACCCAGGCGCCCCAGAAATTGCTCTATTTAAGGTGGTTGTTTTAAGGACTCCTCAGGTGCATCTAGAGTCTGTTGGGTAGTCATAGATCTTACTGTTTTCATTGTTTTACACTGAGAAGTGCTAGGAACAATTGCTGGCTGAAGTGGCAAAGTAATTAGCATGAAAGGAATAGGAAAGACCTTTGTTTAAATGAGGCAGCGTGAATTTGCCGTAGGTTTGTTTGAACCTTTTTATAAAAATATCATTTATAGTCTGTGGAGTAGGGAACAGAGAAGGAGCAAAGAGGACAGTGATGGTGACCAGGCTCAGGGACCAGCATGCTAAGCATGTTGAAAAGCATGTTGGGGCGCCTGGGTGGCTCAGTCGTTAAGCGTCTGCCTTCGGCTCAGGTCATGATCCCAAGGTCCCGGGATCGAGCCCCGTGTCGGGCTCCCTGCTCCGCGGGAAGCCTGCTTCTCCGTCTCCCTCTGTCTCTGCTTGTGTTCCTGCTCTTGCTATGTCTCTGTCAAATAAATAAAATCTTAGAGAGAGAGAGAAAGAAAGAAGAAAGAGAAAGAAAGAAAAAGAGAGAAGGAGCCTAGAGGAAGGCCAGTGAGGAGGAGCCCCGCCCGGCCGAAGAGTCTGGGGGAGTGCGTGTGTGGCCCGGTAGGAAGAGGGAAGGGCAGAGGCGCAAGGGCGAGCACGCCCCGCAGGTCCCTGACGTTGGTGCGGCCGTTTGCTGCTGGAGGTTTGCGTGTCCTCTCAGTGTGTCTGCAAGCATGTTGGCTCCACTAATTCATCTTTCAGGCCACCTGCTTCCTCAGTCGCGCGCGGTTTGCTCGTGTTGAGACGGATGTTTCCTTCGCGCTTTCTGCCTGTCTGTGTTGGTAGCCGGCTTCTTTGCAAACCGGGAGCGCAGCCTGGAGCGCCGTCCTATCCCTAGAGGCCGTGTTTTGGATGCGGGCCGACTTCAGAGTCCCTGGTGCGCCGGGGGGCGCGGAGAAGCTGGGGTGCTGCCTTTGCGTTCTGGTCCCGCCTCCAATAAGCCGTGCATGTTTGAAGAAAGAATAGAGAGTTGTTTGGATCTAGCTGACGGAGCATCTCAGGGCTTTTTAATTGTGTCAGGCTAGGTCTTGTCAGACTGCATGGACTTGAGTCACGTTCCATGTCCTACAGCGTCTGACACTGAAGCCTCTTCCTTCCACTCTCAGCCATCCTAAACGCGTTTCATTTCCCGATAGAAAAACCTTCGATATAAAGGAACCCCCAAGAGCCCCAAACGTCCAATTTCCACCTGAGTGGCTGCAGGTCCCAGAACCGTTATGATGCTAGTGCAGCCATGCATCCTTTTAAGTCGGCCTCTGAAGATTTTATGGTCTGGCCGTAACTAGAGAGAGTGGAGGGAGCTTGATATGTGTCCTTTCGAAACACCTTTCAGTATCCATAGTCACACCTGGGTGGCGAACATTCTGCCCGTTTCCCTTTCGACACGCAGGACACCTGGACAAAGCTAGGCACCACTGCCTCAGCTGTGCAGACTTCTCCAGCCCCGCACGAGTCTGATTTCGATTATGAGAATCTGTCTCCCGGGCATTCTTGTTAGTTTGCATTCAGTTTTCTCTATTTAGAAAAGAGGGAGCAGAAATAGGTTAATGCTCAAGTCACCAGAGGATGAAAAGTTCTTCATTTCTTTGAAGGACTAGTGAGTGTGCTCCCGGGACCATCCCCGTGTGCCCAGGAATTCTCTCTGCTGTGGGAGTGCGGCCTGCACTCGGCTGGAGCAGAGCTCAGTCAGATGTCACTGTGCAGGCTCAGCCTGTGGTGCGAGAGGCTGAGGATTTGCTTCCTGTGAGTCGAGCAAGCTCTGGTGTGGTGTGGCGTGTGCTGTTGTGTGCCGACTGCGGGCTCTCGTTGTGCGGCTGAGACCCCGCGCGCGCACAAAGGACGAGCTCCCCGATCGGCTCCAGAGGCTCCACCCCTTACCCGCCCCCCCCCCGCCCCCCCGTAGCTGTCTGAGTATTTGTCTTGGATAGGCTGTTCTGTGCCACTGGATTCCCCGCACTCTGAGTGGGCCTTCCTGGGGTCGGGGAGCCTGGGCAAAGCCTCTGTGGATGGGGCACTGGGCGGGGGTTTGGCGATGGAGAGCCAGGCCCTGGACTGGGTCCTGCTGTCGGCTTGGGCGGGGCGGAGTCTGGCAGCATGGCCTGGTGGGAAGGGCGTGACTGTGGGCGTTCCACAGGGACAGGCTTTGAGCGTGAACCCCAGCTCTGCTGGTCCCTGCCCGCCCTTGAGTGCGATGCTTCATCTCTCTAGGCCTCGCTTGCTTTGTCTGAGATAGGGAGGTACATTAATAATTATTAGTGATGTAGTTTTTTTTTAAGATGTTTTATTTTTTATCTGACAGAGGTAGAGTATAGGCAGTGGGGGAGGGGCAGGCAGAAGGAGAAGCAGGCAACCTGCTCAGCAGGGAGCCCAATGCCAGACTGGATCCTAGGACCCCGGGATCATGACCTGAGCCGAAGGCAGACACTTAACCGTCTGAGCCACCCAGGCGCCCCGATGATGTATGTTAATACGTGATACAGTCATAGAGTAATACTTTGCGGGGTTGCTTTGAAAATTAAATGACAAGCTCTCTAGCACCTAGTAGCCTCTCAGTAAATTTAATCAATAATATGAATAATAATCACCATCGTACTTACGCATTTGCTTTCTATTCTCAGCAATAAAGTAGAAAAAAATCATAGTTCAGGATTTGAATCCTGGCTTCCAAAATTAGCTCGCGTTTCCTAACAATAATAATTAAAAGAGTTAATACTTACCCTGAAGAATCATGTGTCACATACGCTAAATGCGTTGTCTCTTAACTGTAGGGCAATCATGAGGTGTAGGTACTGTCATCACCCCCATTTTACAGATGAGGGAACTGAGGGCCAGAGAGACTAAGTTACACACCCAAGATGACACCATAAAGAAATGGAGGAGGCAGACTAAATGAAAATGTGGTTTTTTTTATTAGAATCGAAACCCTCTGTTTCTCTATCTGCAATGAAAAAAGTAAGTCTCAACTGGAATAATGAATGTAGTGTCCTGGATGTGGGCACACAGGTGCCTACGGGGGGGGTCTGCCACCTGTGAGTGGTGTTTACTGAAATCAAGGTAGCTTGCACCCTGATGTACAGGAGGTAGCTTCGTACCAGCAGGAGTGATCAGGGGAGTCCCGCTAGACATGGCGGCCCTGAGCCCCCCTCCCGCTCTGTCTTGTTCTCAGTCTGACATGGTTCCCTCTGCCTTTGGTCTAAGCAGCAGACCTGCCTGGACTGCAAGAAGAATTTCTGCATGACCTGTTCGAGCCAAGTGGGGAACGGCCCCCACCTCTGCCTCCTCTGCCAGCGGTTCCGAGCCACAGCCTTTCGGCGGGAGGAGCTCATGAAGATGAAGGTGAAGGACCTGAGGGACTATCTCAGCCTCCATGACATCTCTACCGAAATGTGCCGGGAGAAAGAGGAGTTGGTGCTCTTGGTGCTTGACCAGCAGCGTGTACTTTCTCAGGAGGGCAGGACTCGTGCTCCCCCCTTGTCCCCCGACTTCCCCGAGCAGCAGGCCTTCCTGGCCCAGGCTCACGCCGGCACAGTACCTCCTACCTCGGCAAGCCTCCCCTCTTCACCCGCACAAGCCACGTCTGTGTCCCCGGCCCCGGCTCAGGAAAGCCAGCAGGTACGCGCCGGTTTGCGGCCCCTGCCTGTGTCTGCCGCTTTGCGGGCTCAGTCTGCTCCCCTGCCTGCACTGCGGCGGGAGGGGGGCGGTATGATTAGGGGAGACCCTTCTGCCTATTGCTGCAGGGATGTTTTCTGGACCTCAGATTCCTGTTTGGGTTTTTTTCAGAGATGATCATGCACGGTACCAGGTAATTTTGTGTTTTTAATACATACCTATCCCAGCTAGTCATTTTTTAAAAACTCGTTCCAGAAACATTTTGAGAAAACTCACTGTTAACTCTCTAAATTTGGTTCTGTTCAGACTGCCCTCTTGCTTACCTTTGTTACGGTCGTCTTAGTGGGTCGGGAACCATCACACGGCACAGAGGGAAAGGCACATGTCGAGGGAAGGGGGGTGGTCATGGCTTCTGTGGCCAGTCATTGCTTGGGCCAGGTCATGGTTGGCACGCTCTCGAACGGGAAGTTGCCTTGTCATCGTCCCGGGAGGGCTCAGAAATGGCCAGCGAAGAGCGGCCCGTTGGCTGGACTGAGAACCGGGCAGGGGCCATGCAGAATGGTGGGTGCCCTCAGAAGGCTCCCGTGGGAGGCGGGGTAGACGCGCAAAGCAGCTGTTGGGCTCCGGTGAGGCCAGGAGACATAACCAGCGCGTGAGGGCTGATGGTGTCCCGTAGATAAGACTTCAGTGCCTCAGTGACCCTTTGGTGTATATGGCTTGGGCCATAGCTGGGGCATTCGGACCAATCTGTCGCTCTTTGGTCACCTCAGGCAAACTTCGAGCCTTCAGCAGTGAAATGGGGCTAGTAATCCCAGGGCAGTGTGGCTCCTGGCAGGCTGTTGGGAGGACTGGCTGGCATGACAGCAGCTCTGAAGAGCTGGGAGCTCCGTCCGGCTGGCGCAGCACCAGGGTTGTGTGCGGCGTGGCTGGCCGCGGCCTCCGGTGTGTGAGCACTGGGTCCCTGATTCAGCTCTGGCGGGCACCGAGGCATAAAGACTGGACCGCACTCTGCTCCCCTGGCGGCCGCGCTGTCCCCAGGCCTGAGGCGAGCTCTGCCTGGCGTCCGCCTCCCGCGCGGGCTTCTCCCTCCGCTCAGTGGAGCACTCCTGTCTGGGGTGGCCCAGGGCGTAACTGGAGGGAATTGTTTTTCCCTGAAGAACCTTCAGGTGGATTTTGCAATGAAAGCAGGGGGTTCTAAACTTCCTGTCGTTAACCAGAAATTCCAAACTTCTGCTACGGGTCCCACGCAGGTGCCAGCTCGCATCCCCTGTCCCGGTGAGATCTGCGTTTGTCAAGCCAGGAGAACAGACGTGGGGAAGTCAAGTGACTTGTGCAGACTACCCGCACCTAGGATGCCAGTCTGCCCAGGGCGCCTGCCCCCCCGAGTTCTTGCCCTTTGCCCCTAGTGCCCTGGCAGTGGGAAAGAAGTGGGTGGAGGAAGCAAAATGGTGGACAGATACTATTTAAGAGATTTTAATTTAGCCAGTAGGCAAACTGAAGAGACGAGAGCATGCTTTGCAGTGGGACATCCAGTTTCTCTTCCTAGGGAAAAAAAAAGGACATACAGAAGCCCTTCCTTAGGAACAGGTTAGGCTCGGAGAGACTTTGTAACTCCAAGGTGACACCAGGAGACTGGTGGGTGCCACATTTCCATAAAGCTAAGGGGAGAGGGTGTGGGATGCATCCCCGTACACATATGCTGTGTGCATGCTTCTCTTACCACTTGGCATTTTGGATGGTGGTGGTGATTTCTACTTTCATTTCCACTATAGTTATGTGCTTCTTCTTTTTAAAGATTTTATTTATTTGACAGAGACACAGCGAGAGAGGGAACACAAGCAGGGGGAGTGGGAGAGGGAGAAGCAGGCTTCCCGCCGAGCAGGGAGCCCGATGTGGGGCTTGATCCCAGGACCCTGAGATCATGACCTGAGCCAAAGGCAGACGCTTAACGACCGAGCCACCCAGGCGCCCCGTTATTTGCCTCTTCTTAACCAGCTCTATGTTAGGCATCCTAATCTGGAATGAGTGGTTGAGGCCATGGGTGACTGGTTTCCTGGGACTGTTCCCTTTATTGGTGTTCCGAGAGTCTAAAGGAAAGGCCTGTGAGCTCAGACATGTCTTTGCTCCGGGCTCATACCAGGCCCTTTGCCTGGAGGGAGCAGTCAGTGAAGAGTGTCTGGTGAGGGGTTTGTGGCTTAAAGGGTGATGGGACGAGGAGGCTCACAGTTTGAACTACTGTTTGGCAAAACCTTTTGAGAAGTTAGCATTCCAAACTCCTTAAGCATAGACATCTGTCTTTATAGTTTTAGGCTAATAGATTCTTAGGTGCATTAAAATAATTTTTGACCAGGCTTCAAGATAGTTCTTAGTACTAGTGAGCGCTGCTGGTTGGAGCCCATTTCTAGAATGTGGGAGCAATGACTGGACAGAGTGGTGAGGGTCTAAGAACTGTTTCCTCCGTATCAGGGGAGGAAGCCAGGGAGATGTAGCGTGGAGGCAGAAAGACATGGTGGGAACGGTCTGTAAGAAAGCGGTGCCCATTGCTGCTCGGGGCAGAGCCCAGGACAGTGGGTGGGAGTTAATGGGGAGGGCGGTGGGGCTCGGTGTCCAGGAGAGACCGGATGGCCGTTAGAGAGCAGTCCTGCAGTGGCGTGGACCTGTGCTCTTCCTCGCGCTTGGCCTGTTCGAACTGAGACCACACTGACGGTGAGCGGCCTCTCATGCCATCCTGGTGGGGAGCAAATTAGCGACCTTCTCGTTTTGGAGTTGAAATCTCTTTGTGTCGCGTCTCTGCCCGACAAAGTCAGTACTAGGGAGCAGGCTTCTGAAATGCTATCGTTTGAGACACCAGGTTCCTGGGGAGATGGGAACGTGTTTGGATGTGGAATGAGCTGGGAAGAGGCCCGCATCTCTGTGCATGTGATGGCACCTTTCTCTTCCCACAGGCCAATGGCCATGTGTCTCAGGACCAAGAGGAGCCCGTCTACCTGGAGAGCACAGCCAGAGCACCTGCTGAGGATGAGACCCAGGTGGGGCCTCTGCTCGGGTCCGTGCCTTTGCGTTTGCTCTTTTCTCTGGTGGTGGTAGGCGGTGATTAGGACCCTCCCAGCGGACTCAGACATGCAGAAAAATCCGTGTGTGATGACAGTCCTACAGTTCTATTGTCAGGGGTGGAGCTTAGTGTTAGCCTTCCAGATTAGCCTTCGAAGCTGTCAGTTGTTATGGCAGAGTGGTGAGCTCCCAGTGGAGACCGGGGAGCCTCGCGGCCCCCTCGTTTCTAGTCTCTTGACTTCCTGTAAGCTGCCGGTGGGCGGGCTCCCGGTGCTGCTGTGCAAATCTTGTTCTTTTCGTCTGCTGCTAGCACACAGTAGCCATCGTCACAGGAAAGAGGTCGGAAAATCAGGAGGAAGGATGAGCAGGGGTCAGGCCTCAGCCGTGGTAGGCCAGCCAGCGGGGCCACAAAGCTGTGGTCGAGGTTGCGCACAGAGGCATGTTCGCCAGGGAAGTCTGCCCCTTCCACAGGGCAGCAGCGGGGAGAGCAGAGACCGGCACCAGGCTTGCTGGTTTCTTGTGCTGCTACATTTAGTCTTTACAGGAACCCGGTGCGGTGGGAGTGCTGGGTCTCCTGTATGGAGGGGCAGACAGGCCGAGGTCGGGGAGCAGCTGGCTCCATAGTGTTTAGCATCAGTCCGTGGAGGAGTCAAAATCAGGGCCATGTGACTCACACCGATGCCCCTTCTACTTGTCCCACTGATGGGTTGGTTGGGGGCTGGCCGTGCCCGAGCCCAGAACCACGGGTCAGGAAGAGACTGTGGCCTCTTTGGCCATGCAGAGCGCCATGCCAGGCACTCTTCCTGCCTCCGCTCCCGCTCTTCTTGAGGTCAGTCCCCGTGGGCACGGCCTAGTGAGTGCTCCGGGGTCCTCGGAGAGAGAGCTTGGGAGGTGAGAGCTGAGCCCACCAATCCCACCATTGCCATTGCAGTCTGTCGACTCAGAGGACAGCTTCGTCCCGGGCCGGCGGGCCTCTCTGTCTGACCTGACTGACCTGGAGGACATTGAAGGTCTGACCGTGCGGCAGCTGAAAGAGATCCTGGCGCGCAACTTCGTCAACTACAAGGGCTGCTGCGAGAAGTGGGAGCTGATGGAGAGGGTGACGCGGCTGTACAAGGACCAGAAGGGGCTCCAGCACCTGGGTGAGGCGCTGTCCAGGGGGCACTTGCTCTCGTTCTGCAGCCTGACGGCATGGCCTGACTTGGTTTCCGTGCGCTTAGCCAAGCAAGGAGTCACCTTCCACCTTGGCACCGGCTAATAATAGCTGCTATTTGAAGTTGAGTGCCAGGACCAGGCTAGGCTCCGTAAACATTTATTCAGTCCTCAGGGTGGCCTGTGAAATAGGCATTATTAGCACTACCCGCCCCCCCCCTTTTAAGATTTATTTATTTGAGGGAAAGAGAGAGCATGCGTGTAGGGGGAGGGGCAGAGGGAAAGGATCTCAAGTGGACTCCTCGCTGAGTGTGGAGCCCAACACGGGGCTCAGTCTCACCACCCTGAGATCATGGCCTGAGCCGAAACCAAGAGTGGACGCTCAACTGACTGAGCCACCCAGGCGCCCCTGGCATTACCCTTTTATTGTAGAGCCTGGGTTTCACTGAAGATTTCCTGGACTGAGTCCGTAGCCTTTCCCACCCCTGTCACCCTGCCATCCCCGCTAGTACCTCAGCAGTACTGTTCTCAACAGTTGGGAGATGGAGAGGTGAACCCATGGCACAAGGGAAATAGATCTATGCTGCCTGAGCCTGGGCTTTCCCTATGGTCATTTCCCAAAGCATTCTACACAGTATCATTTTTAGGCGATGCCCAATAAGGTAAGTTGTCTAGGTTTGTGGTTAATTGAGTTTGGGGAAAAAAAACCCAGATCTTCCTGGTAGATAGGAAAGGCAGAGAAGTCCTGCAGAAGAGGAGTGTGTTTGACTGTTTTAAACTAATTTCCTAAAATTTTACCCAGAACCTTCCCCTCTCCCCGACTGATTTAGCTCCTGCAATCAGCATTTTGATTCCTTGCCTGCTGTTAGTGGTTAAGTCCGATTCCAGGCTCTCCTCTCTCATCCCACTGGTTCATCAGAGTTGGGATGTCTGACCAGTCCTCTAGTCAGACTCACTTCCCTTTGGGGCTGTCCCCAGAATCTCCATAGCGTTGTGAGGTCCTGGGGAACAGGACATGGCCCCACCGGGGCACTCCATCCAGACTCCTTGGCTGACTGGAACAGCCGGTTCTAACGCGGGCTTCAGAAGCGATAGAAGAGGGTACTGTGCCCGTGCAGTGTCCTGCCTACGTGGCAGTGTTGTTCACGCGCGCCGGCGGAATCCGTTTCTCTTAAGACCGGATCAGACACACCGGCAGGGGCTGTGCGCGAGCTCTCAGCATGTGAGGGGAGGGCGTGCGTCCGGCCGGGCTCTCCGCCAGCCGGGTCCCCAGGCCAGGGAAACAGTCCGAGGGCGGCAGTTAGACGGGCTGGTGGGAGACTTTGCTCACGCTGTCACATATGCAGACCTCTTCTTTCTCTTTCCTTTTCAGTGTGTGGTGCTGAAGACCAAAACGGTATGTAGTTGCTTCTGCTTGGGACCATGCTTAGGCTCTGAGCTCTGTGGTCCTTCCCTTCTGCCAACCCTGCTTCCTCTTAGCAGTCTAAGAATTCTGAGCGTAGTGGCGTCGAGAGAGTGAGCTGGGGGAAATGCACAGGGAAGCAGGGCTTCTCAGCATCTTTAAAAATTCTCATTCTTGCCTCACCAGGAAGGGTGAAGAGTGGCAGACCCAGGGACAGCTTGATTTGCAGGTCTCGGGGCTGCCAGAGCTCGGGAGTGAGCATTTGTAAAATATTTAGCAAAGTGAGTGATGGCCATGTGTCGCATCCGGTTCATTTTTCATACCCCTGCTGCTACGGCACTCCTTCCCTTACGGTTTTCACTCTGTTTTGGTCCGAGTGGGGAGGGTCTCTGTGGACCTTCAGGGAGATCACTTGGGATGCTTGACAACTTCTGGTACCAACCAGAAAGAAAGGGAGGTGACCTGAGCCTTGTTTGTACAGGGCTGGGCGGTGGCTAGAGCTGCTCTGGAGACAGAGCAGGAAAGGGGTCACCTGTGTGCTCTCTGGACACGAGGCGCATATACCACCTCAGCTGCTACGCACCCATCAGTGTGTTCAAGACCACCAGGGGGCCTTCGGGGACCCCAGGACGCACTGCAGGCATCTGGCTGGGTCTGGGCTTCGTTCTAAAATACCTTCTATCTTTTTGAAAGCTTCAAGGCTGTGTGGTTGTGAGCTCTTCCCCCAAGAGAGAATGTTCTCAGAGTAGCGTTGGGGGCCTGCAAACCATTTTAAAACTTTCAGAAGACTCCAAATTTGTTATTTGGCAAAAAGGCCTTTTGCTCAGAATGGGGCAGTCTTCCAGCTGTTAAATCCTGAAGAGTTGATTTCTTAGCTCCCCAAAACCCTTGTGGGTTCTAGTCCCCCACCCAGTACCAAGATCGGGCTGTTCCACTTGCTGTCTTCCCTTCTTTTTTGATTCCCTGGGGGAATACTGGTAACTGAGTCGGTTGAGTCTGTTATTCCTAAGAAAATTAATATGATATTCTATAATTCACTCCAGTTCAGTTATAGGTACAGTTCAGCCCTTTTCCAAACCCCTGTTAGGGCCAACAGCTGCTCCAGAGGGGTAAATCGGTTTCACTGCCTTTCACAGCTAGCCCCCCTAAGTGTTGACTTTTTGAATAGTCTAGGAAGCAGAAGAAAGTGCCGGGCAGCAGAGTACAGAGAATTCCCCTGTGGAGTGGGACAGGTGACTGGTACGAAGCCAGCTCCCTACTTATGGCTGCTCCCTGGTTCAGGCTACAATTTATAAAGATTTTATTATTTTGAGAGAATGAGAGAGCAAGTGTACAGGGTAGGGGGATGGGCAGAGAGGGGAAGGGAGAGGGAAAAAAATCTCAAGCCGACTCAGCACTGAGCGTGGAGCCCCAGCTGGGGCTTCAGGCCACCATTTAAAACCTGCTGGGGATGGCTAGGTCTTTGGACATGAAGGTGGTTCTGTTCGCACTAAAGTGGGGTACTGGCCATGCCCTCCGCACCTCCCCGCTCACGTAAGCCAGCTAGCTGTTACTGAGAACTCTGTGCCCTGAGCAGTTAATACTGATTTGAGAGTCCCTGTCGTCAGGCCTCTTGCCCAGAAGGCCTGCCTGCCTGGATTTGAATCCTGGCTCTGCTCAGCAGCTGTGTGCCCTTGGGCAAGCCACTTAACTCCTTGGCCTCAGTGGCCTCAAGGCTATAAAACGAGTAGTAAGAGTACCTACTTCGTAGTTTTCACGAGGATTCAAAGAGTTAAAATATGCAAGACTCTTAGGACCCTGCCTGGCACAGCATTCTACAAATGTGAGCTGTTCGGAGTCCCTTGGGAGGTGTTCATTTATCAGACATTTCGAGAACCCCTGCCACGTGATTGGCATTTTCGGGATTCAAAGAGGAAGATCTGACCTCAGAGCATCCAACAAATACTAAGTATATAGTTGCAGAAATTGAGCGAATTGGTTGAATTAAGGAGCGCATAGAGTCATGGGGGAGCTAAGAAGTTAGACATTTTAATTCCATGTGAGAAGCTGGTGTGGGGGTAGCACAGAAGAGGGAGCCGTGATCTCTGCTGGGCTCTTCCACCAGGAAGCCTCCTCAGAGGAAGCCCTGGGGAAGGTTGTGGGACAGCACAGGGGCCCCCCAGGACCCTTGGCTGTATTCAGTTGGGGATAGGTTTACTGAGAAGCCTTGCGATCCTTCATGAACCATTCACTACAGTTCCCTTTGTATCACATTTTTTAGAAACAGTTTTTATCTTTTCAGCATGTTCTGCCTCGGGGGATAATGAGTCCCTAAGTGCCACTTACTCACATTACAGCCTCAACTGTCTGAAAATTCTTTGAAGCCTTGAGGACTCTGCCTTATTTAGCTGTCCTGTTCTGGGTTGTATTTGATCTCCACGTACTTTGTTCTGCACCTCTACAGCCTGACCAGTAGAGGTGTGGATGAAACAAGGAACGGGGGCCTGATACCTGGAGTTCTAGCTGAGGGCAGTGTGTGGATTTGGGGGTGTGTCCGCAGCATGCCCCTTCTCTCCGTCCTCCGTCCCCCCACCGCCCCCTGCACTTACGGGCTTCTCTTCCCTCCACCCCTTCTCTGCCCTGTTTGTCCAGATGGAGCGGTGCCGCCCAGCATGGAGGAGAACCTGTGCAGGATCTGCATGGACTCACCCATTGACTGTGTCCTGCTAGAGTGCGGCCACATGGTCACCTGCACCAAGTGCGGCAAGCGCATGAACGAGTGTCCCATCTGCCGGCAGTACGTGATCCGAGCCGTGCACGTCTTCCGATCCTGAGGGCTGGCGCCGGCTTCTTCAGTGCCTTACAGGGATGGAGCTGGAAGGGTCTGGGCTCCAGATTGGCTAGCTTGCAGAGGGGCAGGCTAACAAGAAAATCTTCGAGCAAAGATGCGGTCACCTCTGGGCATGCCTGTCCTGCCTCGGCGGCACACCTCTCAGCCGGCGGAGCCCGAGGCTGGTGGGAACTGGTACAGATCGCGTGGGCAAGTCCCTGGTTCCAGTGATCTTGGGGTAATGATGGTAATTGATGAAGAGAGGATTTTTCCAGAACTTGGACCAGATCTTCCTCCCTTCCTCTGTAAACTTAACAGTTTTCCCCTTCCCCCTGCACCCCAGCCATCCCTGAGCCGCCTATCTGCATTCCAACCGTCAGAAGTCCTGGTAGAAATGGTTCTCTTCCGCCCCAGCACATTTGGATTTCTTTCTGGTCTCTCTGGCTTTCTGTGCTTTAACCAGCTTTGCTAGTCTCTTGCTGCATTGCCTAACATTCGTTTCTTCAGATCAAAAAGATGTTAGCTTACCAGACCAATAGTGATCCTCCTTAGGACTAAATTTGGACCAGTAAACTTTCTCTGGTGAGAAATGAAACACAAATGCTATTGAAAAATTTCAAAGTCATTTACAGGTTGCTTCCTTAAGTGCTGGGATTGGAAGCAGTTGAGTCTCCTGACCGAACCTTGGGAGCCAGCAAAGAAAGCATCTGCAGGGAAGTTTGAGTCGTGTGTGTGAGATGGCCCGGGGATCATCTCTGCTGCTCTTAGGGCCTGTGCGCCATCCTTAATTTTAGTTTAGGGCCTGTGCACCATCCTTAATTTTAGTTTATGAGAAAAGGGAAAGTTTTGGGTGGAAGCAGTGGCTTCCTGCTTAACTTTGACTTCTCCATCACAAAGGAATTGCAAACGACTTTCCCCAGAGAATGAAGTCCTCTTCCCCACGGAGGTTTTAAACAGGGTCTCACTGAAGGCATAAAGACTAAGGTGAGGAGCCTTGCTCTTCTCTAGCCACACTTTTTGTGAAGTTCCTGGAGACCAAAACTGAACAGCTAAGGGGTATCTGAAGGTACTGAATGAGACTGGATTCAGCCCTGGGGCACACAGCTCCAAGTCTTAATTCCCCAGGTTAGTGGGGACTCCCTGCTCCCATTTCCTTTCTCAGCCTACTGACTTGAGGGCAGGTCTGGAAGAAGCATTCTCCAGGCCCTTTAGGAAAGACCGTACAATGAGTTGGATATTCTCAAACCCTCTTAGGGTGGTTCTACCACTGGAAGAGCCAAAGGGCTTAAGTTTGCTGGAGAAGCTTAGCCAAGAACAGACACATGCTATCAGAAGGAGCTGTGTGGGCTGCCATTACCTGTGGGTGAGCTACGCAACCCCAATGCACCTGAGGGCCTTGGCAGGCCACCCCGCACCCCATCCCATCCCTGCTATGCAGTCAAGTTCTCTCAGACTGGAACCAGTCAGGATGTTGGAAAACAGTGGGAAACCTCCAAGGGGACCTGCTTATTGGTACAGACATACTTTGGCTTTCCCCCATCATCAACCATTGTTCCCCTTCGGAGGAATGAAATTTATTTCGTAAAGTAGTTGTCAGTTGCACACTGGGCCACTTACCTCGACATCATACCAAGTCCTGGATGATTTGATTCTGGGACAGCCTTTGTAGGAATCGGGCGAATCGAGAGAGAGGACTGCTTAGAGGACGTTTCACCTTTTTGCTGGACATAGTACATACTACAGTTTACAATGCCTACCAGTTTAGCAGAGGATTCAGCTACTTCTCGATTCCGCTGTGAAACAGGTCTCTCTCTGTATAATGCAACTCAGTTACGATCTAGTCATAACTTCAGGGCAGAAGCTGGCTCTTTCCCTACTTAAAACTTTTCACTGCTGAGGCCTTAGCTCTCCCTACCTCCCACATTCCCTCCTAGACAGAAGTTAAAAATAATATCCTGAAGGTTGTTTAGTAACCTCAGTAAGAATTAGAACTGGTATCATTTACTCAGTTTGGAGAAAGAACTTGCCCCTCAATCTCTTTTGGTGAAGGTTTCCATTCAGGAAAAAAAGTGTCTAACAACGCTGATTTGTTGTTATTCATCATTATTACACCAAATAAAGGCTGGGATCCCATTTCAGTTCCTATCTAACCTAGGTAGAAAACTTTTTATCTGAGTGCTCTCCCTTGCCCCTCATGGATCCTTGGTCTTAATTATCATGCAACATCTTAATTCTTCCAGTTACTCTGTAGCTTTGGCTGTGATTGTTCTGAGATTTCATTTGAGACTTGTTTTAAGACTTGGGAGAGCCGACTGGTTCATAATGCCTTGGAATGGCTGGATCCGAGCTAGTAACAATAAGCTGTACGGGAATCCGTGCACTATGTTGTACGAATTTGAAATCTTTCAGATGTGGCTTATATTAAGATTCTCTCAGACTTCCTTGGGTGTTAAACCCAAATGTGTATTTTTTTTGTTACAGAGCTCTGCTTTATAATTTTGTAATAAAATTTCACTACAGATGCCTGTCTGATCTGGTGGAGGACACCAGAGGTCTGACAGTTAAGACTGACAAGAGAGTTGACAGACCACAGGCTGGTCCCAGGCTCCTGAGAGACCGCATTAGTTGTGGAGGTGCTTGGGCCATGTGGCCATGTGGCCATTCCCGTTCCAACAGATGAGGAAACGGAAGTTCGGTCGTGTTTTGACTTGCTCGAGATCTCACAACTAGGACGTGGGAGCTGCCATGGCATAGCCTAGAGGATGGGAACTGTGTAGCAAAAGGACCAGCCTTAAGACCAAGGAAGAAACACCAAGTGAGGTCAGACGTTGACACTTATCGTGTAGAGATGGGCCTTAAAGATGTGGGTAGAGCGGACTCGGAGGCCAGCCAGCGTGCTCAGTTAAGTCTTCAGGTGACCCTGGGAGACCAATGGTAGCTTTCGGATACAGCTGCACAGCTGGTGTGCGCACGGGCCTGTGTGGGGAGAGCTTGATTATGTGCAGATCTGCCTTGGAACTTGAGGGGAGAAGAGGAAGGAACCTTGCCCAGAGGCTGTGAAGGCTGGAGGCTGAGCTGCAGCACTCTGGCCTCCTTGTTCTGTGCGGCTGACCCGCTGGGCACCCAGGACGACCTGCCGTCCACTGCCAACCAGCAGCGTGAAAACAAAGGCTCAAAGGAGGGCAGGCCTCGAGCACGGTGCTGGGGAGGTTTAAGATGCTGTTGCCTGTGGGGGGGGGGGGGGGGGGCGGTAATCCGTGGAAATACAGGATTGTAGACAATATAATCTCAGCAGCAAAGAAAAACACGCCTGAAAAAGACCGGAAGGAAAGAGACCGAACACCTTGAACAGGGAACTGGAGAACACACCCAGCAAGGCCGCGCCACTCCTGAGCTGCTCCCACACGGCTGCCGGGGCTGCGGTGGTGCACCCTGAGTGTAAGCCGCCAGTCAGGGCAGGGGGGCTGGGTCTAGGGCAGCCGGGTCAAAGGGCAGTGACAGTGTCCTTTGGCAGAATCCTAAGGGAAACGCTTTGTTCTGCTGCCCGGTCTGGCGGCTCGGCCTGAGGAGGGTGGAGCGGGGATGGAAATTTATGTAGGTCAGCGCTTGGAGGAGGAGCGGTTTTGTCTCCACAAAGGGTGGATCGAAGACGGTCTTGCTCCCCGTCCTCACGCTAGACTGAACGGTGCCTATTCAAAAACACCAGCGTGCTGGGCCAGAGTCAGGGCAGTACCAACCCCTCCTGTCCCTTCCTCCCATTTTAGCCGGCAGGTAGAGACCCAGATCGGGTCAGAGCTGGCCCCCGGGCTGACTGGCCAGCAGCCTCCCGGCGGAGTACTACCTCAGCCGAGCACACTGGAGGAGGGCCAGGGGAGGCAGTGGTCCTCAATCTTAGAGGCCCAGACACAAAAGCGTGTTCCAGAGGTTGAGTCTCATTACCTTAACTCACAGGAGATGGACAAACGAGCATGGCGACCTGTTGACAGCAAGAAAAAAAGAGAACAGACTCTCACGAGTCAGCAGAACTGAACTCCAGGGAGCCAGTCTGTGAGGAGGGGACCACCTGGGGGGCCTGCCCCAGCTGGGAGTGCGACAGCGACAGGCCGGCATGCGGCCGTGGCGGGGCCCTGCCAGGAGCCGGGGAGAGAAGAGGCCCGGGCCCTGCTTGACACGACTGTGTGCCAGGCCCCGTGCCGGGTGCTTCACGTAAGGTAGCCTGAGTTCGTCTGCTCTTGGAAGCAGCCTGCAGATCCGGGGGCGGACAGAGGCCCCCATGTTGAGTAACTCAGATGTGAACCAGGCCCGGCCCGGCCCCGCACTGGCCAAGGGGCAGTTCGTAGCCACACGTGACCATGTTAAGGCTGAAGTAAAACCAGAACTTCAGTTCCTCAATTGTGTCAGCTGCTAAGCACCTGACGTGTGGCTACGTGTGGCTAAGTGTGCCTAGTTTCTTTTGGCCAGTGAAGATTTACAGGGTGTTTCCATTGCCACAGAAAGTTCTACTGAACAGCACTCCTCTCCACGAAACTGTTTGCCTTTTATTCCAATAAACCAGCCTCGGGTGGCACAGGAGCCTTTCTTGGTAAGGAGGCTGTATAGGTTTTGTCCTCGAGTGGGTTTTTTTAATCTTAAAGACCAGTCTTGTTTCCAGATTTGGGGGAGGCAGAGCCTCCTGGAGTCCTATATCCCTCAGAGGAGTAGCTCTAATAACCTCCCTTTTCTTTATAAAGGACCCGTTTTCCTACCTGATCCTGGTTCCCTCCCTTCAAACCGGGACCCACACCCTGTAAGAGGAGAACACAGAGAATAAAGTCATAAAATTCATTTTGTTTTCTTTCAAAGGAGCCTTCATTCCTGGCGGAAAGGGCCAAGCTGAATACAAGTCCTGCCAAATAGAAGCAGCATTTCTGAAGGCAGTCTTTTAAATACAACTTTAAAAGGAGCCTGCAAGTAAAGGGGCAGGTGGCTCTGCGGACAGAGCTTCAACAGCTCAGCGTCGCTCCGTGCCTTACCACTAGGGGGACGACGAGGGGAGAAGGGGTGGAGGACCGGGTAACTGCAAGGTATTTTATTTATAGGAAAAAAAAAAAAAAAAAACTTCTTTTAAAAGAAAACAAAAAGACAACCAAACCAGCACCCAGATCAAAAGATCTATGGTGAACCAGCAGGAGACACGGACTTCCCGGGCAGCAGCCACAGCCCGAAGTCCCCTAAGTCCTGGCCGGGAAGAGACCAAGCCCAGCTGGTGGGTTCTGGAAGACGCACTGCTTGGAGAAGAAAGGCCATCCCCTCCCCCCCCCCCCCCCCCCCCGCCCCCACGTCCTTGCCGTCACCCTCCAGCCCACCGGCCCCCCAGTGAGTGCGGCTGAGGGCAAGGGAGGGCCACAGTCCTAGCAGGGGGCCAGCAGCCTTCGTTTCCGGATACACGCCCAAATCCACTCCGGGGAGACCTGCTGGGCCTCCGGGTTCTTGTCCCCGCTACCCAGCACGTGTGTGGCTGAGGCCATGTCAAACTCCTGCACCAGATCCCCATCGAATGCCACAAAGTAGCGTCTGAGGCGGCTGAAGTCTGGTGTGGAGGGTGGCAGGTAGAGCCGCACCCCCGTGAAGATGTCCAGCAGCACCTGCAAACACACAGCGGTCAGCCCAGGCCGGGGGGTGGGGGGGACCACCACCTCCCTCAGAGCTGACTGCAGGGAAGGACCAGGCATCACAACGCCAGTCCCCCAGCCCCAGTCTAGAGGAAAAGGAGGCAGTGCTGGTGGGTCCCCACACTGGGAAGCTGGAGAAGGGGAAAGTG